ATTTCTGTAAAATATATATATATATATATATATATATATATATATATATATATATATATATATATATATATATATATTGCTCTTGGTTGAGTGTTTGATACCTATCATGTTGTGCTGCAAGTTCACGCGATAATATGAAAAACTATTTATTAATTGTTGTTTAAAATTCTGTCAAACTTATATGCATACTAAATATATTTTTTCTCTTTAAAAAAATAGTTAACATTTTTTTGTGTAAATGTAGTAGTTAGTATGACAGAACTTACTTAACTAAGCAATACGAATGTAAACCAAAAATTTTTAACCAAAAAAAATACAACCGTTTGCATAAATGTGTTCATAGTATGGGATGTGGGGCTGGGCAGGCGGAGCGGACCGCTACTAAAAAGCCTCCGGTGTTTGTAACTATTAATAGTGAATAGTTGTAAAAGTGGTGTATTTTTATACAAAATCTGCTTGCATAGATAATTTTTAAAATTAGATGATTCACTTTCGGAAAAGAAAAAGTAGCCGTTGCATCTGAACTTTGAATGATCTAAAATATCATGACGTCCGATTTTCATTTTCTCTTATAGTTTCTGAGATCTAAACGGGAGGACTGACGGACAGACAGGCCGCATACATACTGCAGCGTCTTTTCCCCCTTCGCGGGCCGCTAAAAATGACACAGACGAAGTAATACATTCATAGTATAATAACAATAAGCAACAACAAAAAAAAACTTGAGAAAGAAAGGAAGAATGGCTGCTCTCTTGTTTACTTTCTCAATCTCTCTTTTTTTTCTTTCCAGTAATTTTATTAGGGTTGACTTTCTAGTTTCTCTCCATCTCTTTCTTCCTCTTTCTTATTCCTCCGTTCTTAATCACATTTTCGTTTCCCCTCTTCTGCCTCTTTTTTTTTCTTGGGTTATGAAATGAAGCTTTTCATATCTTGTATTAACTCCCTTTAATAATGTTGATCAAGACCTAAATCTATGTTTTTTTACAACACACAAAACAGAAAGTCATTTATCAGGAGAATCTAAAATAAATAACGTAACCTTGTATAAGTCTTGTACTATTGGATTAAATCGTCCCAGTTCTATCAGTCAGATATTGAGTTTTGTGTCAATAACAGGACCCACACTTTCATTGCAAGGAATGCCCCGGGCACTGTTAAATGACTTTTTCTCTTATTTCCTGCTAAATCACAGTCTAGACTACAATCTACTGTAGAGTTAAGCAATCGAGTGTCATTTTAGTCCTTGTGCATGATATACTTTGATCTAGGAATGTTTCTCGAGTCTAAGTTTAATGACAGCAATTCAATCCATCTTTACAAGAAAGTCAATAAAGCCAACAGTTACATCCCTTGATATTGTTTCGATTCAACACAAAAAAGGAAGATGAAAATTAAAAAAAAATTAAACTTCGCTTATAATGAAAGTAATTACATTATTTATTTTGAATGTCATGTAATTAATTGTTAATAGATCTAGACTAACAATTCAGTGGTGTATGTAGAGGTGGGGGGAGAATTTGAAAATCCCCAGGGCCCCCACTTGATAGTGTTTCCCAAATGAGTGTTCGGAATTTTTTTTTTACAGTAGATATTAAATATTATGCAAAATGCAGGGGACCCCAACTGATGACAAATTCCTAACTACGCCTCTGACTAACAATAATTTGTCCGATTGGAAATTCGAATATGTTTAAAATTTCAATCTGGAGCATGCAGGATTTTAGTAGATCATCTAGGCCGTAATTTTTTCGTAATTTCCAAGTCAACCGAGCCTATCAGTAATTTCACAAAGTTTGTAATAACTTCATCTGTCTGGTTCACATTTGTAGAAGTTATCTCTCCAACCTCTTATATTTGGCTCATGGTTCAAGTTGAAACTTTATACACTTATTCGTTGATCCTAACAAAATCAATAAAAATATGGATATCGAAAAAGGAAATAAATGTTACCGTATTGAGATATATGGCTGTAAATGTGGAGAACTTCCCATACAATAAGCTTTGTTTGTTTTTTTTTTCTATTTTTCTATTTTATTTTTTTTTAAATAAAGTACTAAGTTTTAAACTAAATTACATCGATCTTTTCCATTTCCTAACATTAAGTCATTTGTGGTTATTACAAGGCTTATATCAATTTCCTCTGGTCAAAAGTTTGGAATCGTTATTTCTTCCACACCTAATCTCGGATCAAACTAAAGATTTGCACAATTATTCCTTTTACCTGACAAAACAACAACCGATAATTTTAAAAAAAGGTAATTAACTATGGGTAATTAATCATTTTGTTTGGTATCTCGAACAAGTGAAAGAAATTGTACTGACAGATGTGGTGGTATACGCTAAATTAGTCCCCTTTATAGGTCGCCGATTTAAAGCAAGTTTGAAACAAACAACAGGTAAGTATACTATATTCTGTTTTCATACACACCTCTCTAGCAGAGTGGTTTTAATGTCAGTTTGAGTCATGAGATCTTCTGTTTTCATACACACCTCTCTAGTAGAGTGGTTAGAATGTTAGCTTGAGGAGGTTTGAGTCATGAGATATTCTGTTTTTATACACACCTCTCTAGTAGAGTGGTTAGAATGTCAGTTTGAGAAGGCTTGAGTCATGATCTTCTGAGTTCAATTTTTCCTGCCGGGGGATGGGGCGCGAGATTCTGTTTCCTTGTTGTTCTATTAGTCTCCTCTAACAAATCTTTCCACCACATTGAAGTTGAGAAGCGTTGCCCGGGGTGGCGTTTACCTGAGTTTATTAGGGGTGATATCAGCGCCCTAGCTCTAAACGTACTTTTTATGTGTACTAATGTAGCCTCCATTGCCTACTGGCTGTACTAATGTAGCCTCCATTGCCTACTGGCTGTACTAATGTAGCCTCCATTGCCTACAGGCTGTACTAATGTAGCCTCCATTGCCTACTGGCTGTACTAATGTAGCCTCCATTGCCTACTGGCTGTACTAATGTAGCATCCATTAACTACTGGCTGTACTAATGTAGCCTCCATTGACTACTGGCATGTTTAACAATGAAATGGTAGTTCAATTAAAAAAAAAAAATTTTAACTTTCAGATTTTCGGACACTGAATTCTTTATTGATAATAACATGAAGTACATGTAAATATTACACAACAGCAATAGCAGCATACATGACCATCATGATGTATTGTGTTTGTTAAATCAAGTGTCTGACAAGTAAATATAAGCCATGAGCAAGTTCAATGCCAAAGGATTAAGACTATGTCAGAATACAATGATACCAGCGACATGGACAATGGATTATTTGTAAAAGAAATGAGTGCCAGAAAATTGATGTATGAAACACATTATAATATTTGAATAGTAAAACATTGCATCACTTTGTAATTAAAACAATCAAAATTATATGCATCAATATTGTTGGTCTAAACTGATCATGCTTGGTATACAACTTCTGGACCAGCTGATTTGTACACATTGCTTCTTGAAGTTTGTATAGAATGCACATCAGTCTGTTTCATTTCTAAAAGAAACTTCCTTCAATCCTATCACTATCTATCATTTAAAAATCTTCCAATACTGTCTATTCATCTATTGCTACATACTTAGAAACCCTAAATGAAATTTGAATATCATAGTTCAATCGTAACTCCTAATGGAGTAGGCCAATTGCTAAAATTAACAATTGTGCAACATAGCATTGTCTATCTGACATTTAGTCTAGACATTCTTACGAATTTCTCAAGAGAAAACTAACTAAAGCGAGGCTCTAGATAGTTGAACAGCACAAAGTGTAGCAATGCCCAGTATGTTCCGATAGAAAATTTCAAAAGAAGGAGTACTTCAAAGATCTAATTCTACAATACTGTCACAGCGATAGTCAACATGATGATTCATCAACACTAGATTAGATATTAACAATATTTCGTTGTTTATATTAAATACATACATTCAAAGCATTTTATTGAAAAGCAAGCATCCAATACTTTTGGTCTGCTAATATTGTCCCACTATTTTTTCAAGAGAATGTGATGTGACACATTGATGTCTTCCAATTGGTCTGAATTAAAGCTGATAATGAGGTCAGTCTTGCCAACTTTGGTAGGAATTATAGGAAGATTTGCCATAAATGTGCTGTTAGCGGCTACATTACTGGGAGAAAAAATAGAAATGACAAAACGGTTATTACAAAATTGGGCTAAATGTATAATACAAAAGAACTATAATAATATCAGCGCAGGGAGGGGGCTGTTTGTGCATCTACACTAGCACATCAAATAGCAGGCAATACCAAATTAAGAATTAAATGTAATTTGACATTGTGACTTAGTGAGTGTAAGATGTCTGCTTTTTGTATTCACATTTCTGTTTTACTCTCTTTTTTTTTTTCATGTCTACTTGTACAATTCGATGGCATTTCATTTCTATTACATGCAAATTAGATATTAGTTTTCAGTTTCTAAATACTAGATTCTCATTCTTGAAGAGTCCATTTCTTCTGTATGGACAGGACCTACATTTTCTCATAAGTTTTATAAAGCATGTGTGTAAAGTTTAAGTAAAGTTTAAATCTATGCCGAGGCAATATTCTGTTCAACTTGTAAGCATTGAAGCACTATAGTTTATTGTATAACAGTCTCAGTCAGTCTTGGACTCACGTTTGTGGGAACTTGAAAGATTGAGCCAATCCATCCACAACAACATAACAATTAGTGAGGTCTCTGCTGAGTGGATTAGTGAAGGAAACATCAACAGTGAACTGCTGGCCACTTACTGCTTCACTTGGTGCCTATGAAACAAAGTATTTGTTACAAGGTTACTGCTTCACTTGGTGCCTATGTGGCAAACAATATTACGGATTTAGTTACTAAATTAGAACAAATTTACCTTAATTGCAAGGTGGGGCTTACGAAGTCTAAAATCATCTTTCTTGGTGAAATACTGCTCCGTTTCTTGTACAACTGCCCAAATTGTAACATCCAACATACAACAATCTTTGAGCTTACCATCGTAGTCAGCCTGAGTAGCGACAACAAAAACGGATTGCTCTAGCCAAAGAAAAGACAAACAAAATATGTGAACAAATGAATTCAACAGTTGCTAGTTTAATGATTGCTCATTAAATGACTGATAGACCAATGGATTAGTTCTGAAATGTGAATAAAAAGCCTTGTAAGTAAAATTGCAACTAATCAGTTCCAGATTACCTTCCCCTGGGTTTATGGTAACAGGACCAAAAGGGTTTGAGGTGACTGGTTCAGCCACTACGCCAGTGTAATACATGCTCTTCACCTCAATACGACCAGTTACTGTCCGGACTTCAACTCCACCATTCTTCATTCGAAATCTCAGCTCAAAGTTCCCCCCAACAAATGTGGCACTTTCGTCTTGATCAACAGAAAACTCAATGTCCTTCGAAATAGACAATTAGGGAGTTAGTCTAAAGTCTGAATAAAGATTTACTGATTTAAAGATTAGTGATGTATGTTTTGTATGCATGTTCAATACGTACATATACACATCAAGAAAAGTACTTAAAGATGTTCTTAATGTGTTGATTGAACAAATATTTCTTTCTTTTTATTAGTCGTTATACCTTTCTATCTCATTCTCTTTCTCTCTTTTTTTTGTTTTTCAGCTTACAATTCTATTTTTTTCCATCTACCTTTTTCTTGGATTCTATTCATGTATCTCTTGTTGTTGTTGTTGTTGTTGTTGTTGTTGTTGTTGTTGTTGTTGTTGCTGTTGTTGTTTTTATCCCTTTTTTTCTTCTTTCTTTTTTTTTTTTTATACTTAGTTGTTTTTCTATTTCTCAAGGCCACTACTGTTTAGAAACACATTTACACATACACAAAGACTTCCTATAAATAGCTCACAAGACAAAATCATTTTATTTTGTGTTTGTAAGATTGAAAATAAAAAGAGAAAAAGAAATTTGATATGTCAATAGAATGTTTCTACAAAAAAGATAAAAACTTTGTCTACTGTTTAAACAGTTTTTTATCTTTCATTTTATAGTTAGAGACTATTCACTTGCAACATCTTTCACAGTACTCAAAACCATGTTGCTTACATTAGATTTTTCAATATAGATATCTTTTCTGTTGGAGCCAACTTGGTTAGCTCTGAGCACTGCAACTCTTTCTTCAGCTGAACCTAATGGAAAAATAGATAAATTAGTTGTTAGTCATTCTTTTATCTATCTACTTACCTGCATGCCTACCAACCAACTATCTACAAACTAGTTTCTATATCTCCTTTTTGTAATCTAAATGTAATTTATCCTTTTAATGAATATGTCTTTATGTCTGTCCCTGCATGTCCATTCGTTTAGCTTTTATCATTACAACTCTTATCCATCTAGATTAATGTTTTTAGCTTGGTAATCAATGAACTAATTCATCAACCCGTATTTAACTTACAAAATAGGTTTCCAGGGATAACCATATTGTTACTTTTCTCCCTATCCAGGCTCACTGCAAACTGTACCACACAACACCACCAACTTAAAGAACTTGACAACTCAAAGCTCCAAAATAACCTAACAGTTTAATGTCAAAGAAATCACAGCCAATACTGTACAATTGGAGACGTGTTGGTTGAGCGGTAAAGTGCTTGGCTTCCGAACCAAGGTCTGGGGGTTCGAATCCTGGTGAAGACTGGGATTTTTAATTCCGTGATCTTCGGGCGCCTCTGAGTCCACCCAACTCTAATGGGTACCTGACATTAATTAGGGAAAAGTAAAGGCGGCTGGTCGTTGTGCTGGCCACACGACACCCTCGTTAACCATAGGCCTCAGAAACCTTTACATCATCTGGCCTATAGACCACAAGGTCTGAAAGGGGAACTTTACTTTTATTTTTTACTGTACAATTGGCAACAACGTACTACTGACTGTACAAAAGCTTCACACTCTAACGTATCAACTCTAACGCTGTAGCGACTCTTGCAATGGCCTCTCCAGTCTTGTTCCGGACTGACTTCACATTAGACTGGTTCTTGACTCAGACTTCGAAGTTGCGAGGTAACATGAAGTCACTTGACTCTGACATCTTCGCTATAATATAGAGTCCCTGCTGGCCTTCAAGAACCGGACGGAACATTACCCGACCATTCTGGTTGATAATATGACTACATCCCTCGTGACGCTTCTGAGCACTATTCACAACACAGATCCTTCCCGAATTGTCTAGGCTGACCGTCGCAACTCGTCACGATTGACCTCTCGTCTAGCACTGGACTGGGGTGATTTGCTTAGGCTGTCTACACATGCCGGCCTTAGGCTACTGCAACCTATGCGGTTGCATTGGGCCCTGCACTTTCTTAGGCCCCGCGCTAATTCTAAGTGTAAATTATTAAATTAAACCATTATAACTTATATATGATAACAGGGTTTCTGTGGCTTCCTGATTTTAAGGAAATCTCCTGAAAAGGAAAAATATATGAAAAAGTCCTGGAAATCTCCTGAAATTATTCAAATCTCCTGAAAAATTGACAAGATTGTCATTTTTGGGGTGCCAATAAATAAAAACAGCTTTATGAGCTTTCATGTAATAAAAATTTATTGCAAAGACGAAAGTATTTTCTAATTTTCAAAAATCTTAATTTTGACATTATGCTCATCTCTACTTAGAGGCTAGGCCCAGCGCATCCGTTTCGCATAGGGCACCGCAATTGCTAGGGCCGGCCCCGTGTCTACACATAACACTACCCCCATCTGTGTCACCAACAGGTTTATTACAATATTTCCAATGGTGTAGACTATTTATATTTAGATCAGCACTTCATTATTTATTCCAGTGAGAAATATATTCTAACAGAAATAAAAACACAATTCGTATTAAATTCTAAACACTAAATTCGTTACCTTCCTCTGATTTATAGGTCAGTGTTATGTCCTCTCTATCATCAGAGTTGGCCGCTTTAGTGCTGATATTTTTTCCAATCCTTCAAAACAAATTACAATTACTTTTATTACTATTATTATTATTATTATATTTCTGTATACAGAAACAAAAGTCTGATAGACTCACAGTCTTTTATCTGTGTACACAGCTTTCAGTTTTCCTTCAGAGTCTGGCACCCAATAAATACGATCAGCATTGACTTCTGCAAACACGAAAGGACCATCATAGGGAAGATTAACCTCCCCTTGTTTCACTGCAGCAACAGAGGTTGGTCCACAGCAGTACACATCTAAACACAAGACAATTAGAAGAGTATTATTAACTCTCTCCATACATCTTTTGAAAATCAGTGCAAGGTTGTGATACTAGTCAAGATAAGCTTTTTAAAAAGGTTTGGCTACATGAGTTTAAATCTCACAGGTAGTGAAGCTCAGTGGCGTCACTAAGGGGGTGCGGTCCGAACCGGGTGACACCCAATAAGGGGTAAACTTCATTCTTCTTAATAAACATACCGTGTTCTTGAGTGTATTTTTATAAGAATTTAAGAGTGTGTACGTAGTATTCAGAGACAAAAGTGAATTAAATTATAAAAAAACTTCAACTTTCAAAACGTAAGACCACATTGATTAGAAAATAAAGGGAGGGCATCCTTTATATATCAAGATGGATTAGTGAAATATTGGTTATCTCTCATAGAAGCACGTAGAAACATATACTGAACAAATCTAACGATAACGCTAGAAATTTAACTTTGCTAATCAGAAAAAAAAACTCTTACTAAATAGATTTCAAAGAGTGTCAACTAAAAACAAACTTTATGTCCAATTATTCTTTCTAATTGTCTATAGTCTTACATGACGATAACAATTTATTTTTAATAAATATCTTTTGCTTAATGCATATGCTAGCTGGATACCAAACCCTAGTCAGATACAATGTTTGTTGGTTGTTACATTAAATATATAGCATCAGGAGTGGAAAAAATATGTAGGTCACAAATGGGTTTGTGTAGTCCTGTGTAGACATTGCATTAGTTAGACATTAAGTAGGATGAAAAAAGTATTTACAGTCAGATGCCTCTTGTGGTGTAGCATCAAATGCTTGCCAACCACCATATCCATTGGGAAGATCTGGTCTAGCCATCCAAGCTTCATTCCAAACATGAAAGTTCCTGAAAGAGAACATGTTGGTTTTTATTGCAGGAAAAAAAATCATTTAATAGTTGAGCCCAAATTTTCTGTCCATATTTTGAATCACAAATGTTAAATGTTAGAAACATTAGAAAAGACTTAAAAGAAATACAGGTCAAGATATTGGGTTTCATTGCTTTCATCCCTTTTCACAACTTGTGATCTATAGGGCAGATGATGTAAAGGCCATCTGTTTCTGTGGCCCATGGTTAATGAGGGTAACTTGTGGTCAGCACAACAACCAACCGCCTTTATGGTTACGTTAGGTAGCCATTAGAGCTGGGTGGACTCGGAAAAGCCATTAAGATCCCGACATTAAAAATCCCAGTCTTCACCAAGATTCAAACCCTCCAGTTTGGAAGCCAAACACTTTACCACTCGCCCACTGCACCTCCATTGCTCATTATTGGGCATGGCGTCAAGTTGACACGCATGATTTTAACTTTACGTATGAAATGGAGACTTGAAGTATTTACCAGATTGAGTCATAGTTGAGATCATCATTGCTTGCTCCATCACTTGTAAAATGGACATCAATTGTGATGGAACCATCAGTGTCATGTGCCGAAGCATAATTGGTGACACTTCTTGCTGGGATACCCAGAGCTCTACAAACTAAATGTTTGCATAGAAAAAAAGAACACGTTGAAACAGATTCTTGTAAATACTGATGAGTTACGATAATACTACTGCCTAGTACTTTAAAATTGAACTATAATGGGCAACACAAAGAACCAACTTGTAGTGGAGAGACCAGAGAAAACCCAACACTGGCCAAATTTGACTGGACACTTGGTTTGCCAATACTCCTCTAAGATTGCTGCTGACCCCGTCCAAGACAGCGGAGATCGACCACCTCTGTAGTCTCCTGACCAGTTACCAGCAAGAACACCACCTTCATCCGAGGAATTGACCTGATACAATTGATAAGAATATTCTAAGTTACTTGATACATCGGATAGACTGTCAAACAAAACACAGAAATTATTTGGTAATTTAAATATGTATTTATATCTAAGTGCTATTAAGTTAGTCATATAAATGTTACATCAAGAGTAATAGCCCATCATTCAACTAAATAAATTACCAAAACTATTGATAAAGTTTTGGTCTCTTACCACGGCTGAAATTTT